TGTGTGTCCGTCCGCAAAATGAAGTGAGTGAGAAGGAAGCTCATGGGATAAACAAACCGCTAACAGAATCATGTAGCTCACAGGACTTTAGCTATTAGTGTTTTGCAATGGCATGATTGTGATAGCATCCCCAACGGCTATATAAACACGCACTTAGCACACTTTCGGTCATTCGACAAGGTGATGCTGTGGTAGCCGGCGAGCAGAGGGGAACGAGGGGAGAGTAAGGAGAGGAGGAGAAGGGAAAGCTTACGCAAGGTAGGGAGGTTCCGGCGCTTGCCGGGGGACCAATCTGGTACTAATAAATCATCCAGATGAGCTTAAATATCCATAACAAAAAATCTGCGGTTTCTACAAAGACTTGCTTACTTACTAAAACTAAGGCTAGGGTTTTATCCTCTTAGAATGAATATCACACTCCGAAGATTAATGTCTCAACATCAACATGTTTCGAGAAAACCGAGTGAATCTTCCTCGTTCCGCTCAAGGGCAATCCGTTGAGCACTTTGCGCTTGCTATTCCTCTTGTGTATAGGCGCCCCTCGGCAACCCCATAGCTCACTGGGATATTGACTGTTGCGAAGTTGAGCACTGGAGAAACACATTAGAAATCAGCAATTGATTTCTCATTGACCTATAGTCGCGGAATCTGCAACAGTGGCAGTACGCGGCGTGTTCAACAAAAAGTGTGCTCGAGAGCGAAGGGCTTCGCTCTTGCTCCTTGTTTTTCTGATGATATTTCTAATTTCCAATAAGTCTTTGAAGTTGGTAGAGTAGTTTGAAATGAGGCATGGAACTCCGGATAATGGTGTGTTTTTTGGAAGTATAAATTTATTCTTTTACTTTTTATACTCCGAAACCCAGACCGTGCCATGGTTTGAAATAAGAACTGCCTTTCCCTCACTACCAAATTCAAAGACATTTGTTGAGCTTACGAAGACAGTCACATTTCAATCCCATATCCGGCTTAAAGATTCCGAGAAATAATTATCTAAAACGACTCGACGCTCACCACGTGATCCGTCTTAGTGGTCGAAAACAGATATCTCCTCGTTTCTTCTCCACAACGGATTGGGCAGGCACTCGTGAAAATTGGAAAAATATTATTAGATGGAATTGTGTAATCCGCATGGACATTTGTATGATTTGTTATCTGCCACAGCTCGACACTCAATCGTACGCCCGCGTGTTTTGGATACATGTCAGACTGCGGATTACGGTAACCGTTGGAAATGATAGAGGTCCGGTTTCGTGGCCGACTGCATTGTACGGCTGACGAGCACCTACGCTCGTCGATGGCCTCCATGAATAATGATGTTCGCTTATGTATATAAGCGGATCATTCGAATGCCCAATGATACAGTAGGTGGTGTTTCCGGTTTTTGCAGGCCGAATACATTTTGAGTACTTCACAATAAATATTTGGAAGCCTGAAAGGCTCAACGGCTGGGCGCCCATTTGGTTGGGCTGAATTTTAAGGAGTTGAAAACCAATTATTTCGATCAAACTACAGGCCTGAAACCACGAAGGCTTGATTATCATACTATTTATAAACCACTTTGTAGAACAAAAAGTTGAAAACCCCTCTGGATTAACTAGGGTAGGTCCTAAATCGAGCATCTGCCAAATCAGGTGTCAAGTCGACTAAAAACCGTGTCGCTCCATCACCAGCAGTAGTAGTTAATCGATGGCGCAGTTCACCTTGATTCGAAGAGGGACGGGTGGGCGCCCGACGGCGGATTAGACACCAACTAATCCGAACAGCTGTACTGTATCAGGTTGGCGAGTTCGTTCATCATGTGATCTTGATGGTGACGATGACGGTGAAATTATGTACGAATGATGGTAAATTTCGAGCCAGCATTGACGGTATGAACGCAAATAATTATCGAACTGTGGCTCGTGCCACAAAGAAAAGGAGGAGACGCCAGTACGTCATGTCGAAGTTCCGTATATGGGGTTGTATCAAAATAGCCCTCTCTTTTTATTTCTCGAGAGTGGTTTTAGTCTTGATTTGATTTTTTGGCTGCAATTTTGTTTGCTAATCGGAGCTCTCTGAACATTTTTGATAATCATCATCTCCGCTCCGGTCTTTGGTATTCTTTTGGTATCCTGCCCTTCCCCTAGGCTGAGAAGACAAAAATCTTTTAGAATGTTCTTTGTCTTTCCATCAAAGCTCGCTCTGAGGAGCCCCATATTTGTTACGTGACAATGTGCGTCAAAGCAAGCAAGAGTGGAAAGTAAGGAACGGTACTAAAAAACTGATAATTCAGAAAGGACTCTCTAGCCTGGTAGGATTTTAACGGCCCCTGCCCCCGTGACGTGTGGGTCGGGTTAGGCAGCCAGGTTCTTTGGGTGTCTGCCTTTAAGGCTTCATGCCATCCGCTCCTCTCAGCTATTCTAGAGAAAAACATGTTGCTAAAATTTATGCCACCATCAATCTCATGAGTGATTGCTGTGGAACAACGCTCTCAGAAAACTGCGACAATTGATTTACTGGTCGTAGAACGTCTTGCTAGGAAGGTCCGGTAATCATGGAAGCCTCTCATGAAGTTCTCCTCTTATATTGTTGAAGCTACTTTGGCGAGATAGCGCGGTTGCAGCTATGTCAGCAAGGGGTACGAATCGAAAGTGCTGAAGCGACACTTTTGTGAGACCATTTTTGACCCTTTTTTGGCTACAAGAAGCCTAGCAACAAAAGTGACTTTATTTCAGGACAAATTGGACGCAATATTGTGAAAAGCAACGCATATTTCCTTTTAAGTTCAACACATTCGTACAAAACTCTCGGTAGGGTGTCGTTCATACTTAATTCAGCTGTCAGCGCATCGATCGATATGCATCAGAAGTATTATCGTCACCATTTATCGCCTTAAAGCGATAATCTACTTTTCCAGTGATCAAATCCTTGAGTTTGCATTGGGGCTTTAGCGAGCAATTCAATCCAATAGTTCGATGGCATTTGTGTCGCATTGCTGGCGCTGCCGTCGGATTGGGCTGCTAGCGGTCGCTTATCAGTGAATGTTATCGCTTCACTCACACCTATACAAGTCACCAAAAGGTGGGGCAGTGAGTATGTCTAAGCCGAAAAATCAACACTACCCGCCCCGGTTTGTGTGAGAGACGCTCGCTGCACGACCGTCGAGAATGAAACTAAACAACAGGGACACATACACACACCACATGCCGTGCCACCATTATCGATTCACTGATCAATACTGTATCGATTTTCGACCGCTTAGATTTTCCTTTCTGAAAAATTCTAGCGCCAATTGGCGTTCAAGCTTAGCGTCCGCATTCGGATTTTTTCAGCAATTATCGATTTCTCCTTTTTCCTTCTTGTCAGCTCATTATCAGATGAGTCCTGCAGTCTTGAGGCTTGTCTGTCAGATGACTACTAATTGCACAGCCAAGCTGTTTCTCTGAAAAGATTTCGATTTTTTAATAATTCAACCACATCTCCTTCCTCTTCACATGACTGGTGCCTGATTTCTGGGACACCGAACCCTTCTTCTCGGGTGGTTGGTCCGTCTGCAAACCCGTGGGCCATCAGCCATAGCTAGTGAACGTCATCATGCAGTTGTCAAGGTGTCGTGTGTGTTCGTGAAGATACGAAGGCATACGCGCACATCATAAGCTTCTCTCCATTACGATGATTAGTTTGTGACAGTCGGCAAATCCTCGTGTAGCCGTGCGCTTATCCAGCCCATCCTTCTGATTTCCACTATTCATTTCTACGACTGCATCTTCGCCTTACAGCTGCTGTGACTGAGCTTCCAAAATCCTACACACAACTTACCTACATGGCGTCTTCCGGTAGTGGCAATCATAGTCACTCGAATAACTTTAATCTGGTGAGTAGAATTTACATTTGGATCTTAGGACCGGAATAGAAGCCATAAGGCTATCACAAGGTGTGGATAAGTGAATACTTATGGGCAGGAAAAAGCGAGTATGTTTCCATTAGGGCAAATCCCAGCAGGACGCATATGCACGGCTCATCTTGTCGAATTTGCCAAACCTTGGGCTTCTTCCGTCCTTCTGCATCTTAGCGCTGCGATCCTGTAGCTTGATCTGCCTATAAACTTCTAAGTATCAGGGTCTTATTTTGTCATGGCCGTAATCGCTTAGCAGTTGGCTAGACGATAAGTTATCGGCTCGCAATAAATGGTCATGCAGAGGCTAGATTCTCTTTCGCTTTCTTTTCTGTTGAGTAGAGCCAATCTCTCACAGTCGGGTTGAAATCAGTGTTGACTATTTGCCGCTGGAACAAACCTTCACTCTAAAGCTTAGTAACAAAATGGCTAGAGGAGGTTGCAGCCGAAGTTAAAAGAAGTCATGTCAAGTATCAAAGAATGCTAGAGCCATCGAAAGCCATTGGTAAAGGCGCAGGTATATTCTGCTGGTTCTGTTTTAATTGTTTATAATGCAGTTGAAGTAGATCAAGCTAGCTCTTTATATAAAAGCCTTCCCAGAGAATTGTCCACCTAGACAGTTTGATGCCGAAGGAGCTAGACACCTTCCAATCTCATCGGGAACAGCCTGTTTACTTTACTAAGCGTCTGTCAACACAGGGCGAACTAGGTTTATCAGGATTATTTACGGATTTGTTACCGGCAACATTTGTACAGTAGCAAAGCGATAGCGCAAAATAGTTTCCCACCTCTATACAAAACCCTAGATCTCCTTCAGATGCTGGGAAAGGCACTGCGGTGTTTCCAGGAAAACAGAATAAATTCTGCTGAAAAATTTCTGGCCCAATTTAACGGCGCCGCTGTCGTGGTCGTCCTTGTCAGCAGCACCCAATGTTTTTCAGCATTCCACTTTTTTCCCTTACCGTAGTCGTGTAGTTTCCCCAGTCGGTTCTTCTTCGTCTTCTCGCTTTCATTGTCAAACTGTCTGTTTGTGTGTGGGCAGAGTATGGCCCTCTATCAGTGAAGCGTGTCCCACTACCGTAATCCGTGCAGACTCCACCAAACAACCAGCTTCGCAGCTCAAACAATGAGCGCAGCGCGCTGCCGTGTGCACGGTTCCCATTGGCCCAATCGCCGTGGGCGGGCCGAACGGACCGAGAGAGCGTTGGCGGCCGCACGGCGACGCGGAGACGACGCCGGTGAGGGGCGTGTCGCGATGCGGATTGCGTAGCGAAATCGCATTGACGTTGGCTCAGCCGCCGGCTCGCCGCTCTCCAGCTCGTGGTTTATCGTAATCTGAGGATGATGTGATAGGCTTATCGGGTCGAGACCGCCGCCGCCGTCGTCGCCGCCCAACAGTCGCTGAGGCGACGTTTGGCGACTCGTTGTCGCCTGATTTCAGGCGACATCTTGAAATGCCATCGGCTAAACGACGACTACGGCGGCCACATGGCTCTCGACCAGGTAAGCCTCAGCTAAGCTCGTCTCTCCCACTCAGCTCATCTTCTTAATGTATTACTTGACTTTCTTACTTCGGCAACGACTTTAGCCGAGTATTCGACGCTTTTCTGAGATTTTCGCTCCGTTTCTTACACGTTTCGTCCGGCGCCTTATCTTCTTCATTTTCTATAGGCAAAACTCGACACGTTGCATCAGATGATACCTACGTCAACGATGAACAACGGAAACTTTGTAAGTATTCATCGATCCAGCCGTGTGCTTTTGCTTCTTTTTGAGGAGAGGGAAATCCGAGGCTTTGGATGGGAAGCTCTATATCGTTGTATAGCCTGTCGCTGAAGCCGTTCTCGCAGGTTTTGTGCGTTTTCCGGTGGTCGCAAACCATTCTGGCTCTTTTGCCTGGCCCCCAGAATTCCAATCTCGTTTTTCATCCCCCACCTCACTACCGCTTTGAAGCTAGCAACAACTCACGCAATAAACAGAAACATAACAGATGCAATTTGTGTAAAAACCCTAACCATCCGTACTCTTTCCTATCAAAATCCTTCCGTGAGCCCTTCTTTGCGATGGAATGGAGCAGATATGGGTAGCTGTTGGCGTCAGACTCTTCGCACTGCTCAGCAAACCATTTCGCAGCGACTCCGTACAACTGTTTCCATTTCTCTGAATATTGTGAATTTGTGAAAAATGGCAAATTACATTTGATTTTTGGCCCTCTTACAAAGGCAGAAATTGGTGAGAGTTCGTAAAATGACTTAGAACCCTTAGCCAGCTCATGTGTCAGCACGGTTCTCCTTCAAATTCTGTCTGAAACGAGATTGACGTTTAGCTTGGTGCCATCTGAATACATTGCAGCACTGTACATAGAAATAATAGTCATTTCTGCGAACACCGTAGGCATTTTCTGAATACCCTCAGGCAATTTTGCTCTTTGTTTGCTTACCGTTGATTTAAACTAGAGCGAACCTCCGAAGCGAAAGGTTGGGTAAAAATTACCGTGAGTCAGTACAAACAGCAACGCATTTACATAATTGGATTTCCAGTGCCCTGTACAAGGCGTGAAAAACGTTCGAAAGCGATCTACACCTAACCCCCTCCCCCTACAACAATTTTTGAATCAAGAGCGTTTCCACTAATTTGTGATCAGTTTTGCTTAGCGATTCCTTATCACCGTGGGTTGAAAGTTCATATGACCCGTTGATTGTCATCTGTGTTTCGTCAAATGTTTAGAATCCAATTTCTTATAACATTTCAATGATAAGAGTGCTGTCATCAGAGATAATCAGCTTCTAAGGAGGAGAAGAGGTGAGAAGATTGAAGGAGCTCTGAAGGGTTTAGAACCAATAAAAAAGTCTTCACCAGTTCCAGAATGTATCTCTGAGTCCTATATCGAGTTACTTGGAGCAGTTAACGCTCTTCAAGGTGCCAGGTACCTAGTGGGAAATCATCGGAATAATTACATAACCTGTAGACATTCCTGGCATCAACAGGGATGCCACTGGAACAGGGTTTATCAACAATAACAACCAGAGTAGCCATAAAAATGTGCCCGCGGTCATTACAAATTTTCCATGGGTTACTGTAGATTGACGCTTAATTTTGTGTGTTTTCAGTCGATGCCGTACATTCCATCGGTGTCGTCCGCAGCTGCGGCCAACATGTCTTCGGTGGCAAATATGACGGCTGCTTACTTCAACTCGAAAAGTGCTGCCTATGGAGCACCACATCTTGGCTTTCCAACCGCACCTACACATAACTTTCTGCCCACCGGTATGGGTTATATCGGTGGAAGCCTGGCCGACTGCCAACAAGCTGGTCTTGCATGGAACGCTGGAGGTCCACCAAGGTGAGCGCTACGCTGTTTTCGACGTGTAGGTTCAGATACAAGAGCACAACAGCAATTACCGGGTCTTTAAAAGGGTTCATCTGCTGTTTTGGTAGGAGGTTTTCGAGAGGTTAGGGACGTAGGCCACCTTCAAAAGAATTCGTTTTCCTGGTATACGCCATGAAATTCACAGGCTAGCAAAATTGCCACCATGCCTGTCCCAACTCGAAATTGGTTTCCAAGCTCCTGTTGGCTCCTAAGGTAGCGCCAATTACGGAATTTGACCTCATTTCCACCGATTTGACCCTTCGTTATCAAGGGTCGACATACCGGATGTTTGTGCTATTGTTACCGATAGTAACCGTAGTGGTGTCAAACTGATATGCCATTATATAGTGAAGCGGATAGGGTTCATAGAAACGTCTTGAACGAAGATTTGGGATCGACCCTCCGCTTGAACTTGGACTGGGATGGCTGGTTTACTGAGAGATGTTCCGCTAAGTCCTGTGCGCGTGATGACGGCTATGCTCTAGGCCCACAAAATGGAGTCAACAACACCAAATTTGTTCAAAATCGGTAGTTGTTCATTTTCGCTCAAAAGCCCAAAAATAGAGTGCGATTTCAGGAAACAGCGTCGGGAGCGTACTACGTTCACCCGAAGTCAGTTGGAAATTCTGGAGCATGCCTTCTTGAAGACCAGATATCCAGATATCTTCATGCGGGAAGACATGGCGCTGAAGATTCAGCTGCCCGAGAGTCGAGTTCAGGTACTGTCCGTTTCAAGCTTTCAAACGATCTTGTCTGGGAATCGGTTTGCGTATGAGATCTGAAGACACACCTTCACATCCTTGTGCCTCAGGGATAAGGCGCGGGTTCTTCCCGAGGTGGCATCATAACAAGGGAAAGCTGCTACTTCTGCAGGGATGCCTGTCTGGTAGATGATAGGGGTAGACTTTGTAGACAAGGGAAAAACCAAGGCTTACTCTGGCCGAAACACGGAAACATAAGCAGCTTTGAAATTTCTATCAAAAATCCCAAACTGTCTAGCAATCTCCACTGATCACTCACTATTCTCCGTCACAGTGACAGAGTGACATGCGCTCGTTCGGAACTCGTTCCTACCGTATCCATGGGGCACGGCCTCCGTCGTCGACTGACGACCAAATAGAAATCATTCAACGACGACCATATCGATTTGATTGAGGCGCAAAACGAGACCCTGTAGGGAAAAAGTCGCATGAATATTAAAAGGGGGTCATGGTTGGTAGAAATGCACTACAGATTATCTACTCTTCCACCTTGGACCATCTAGGGCTCCTAGGACTGACCTAATAATGAGGATAGGCCTGACCAGTACCTGTTACCCTTACCGATCTGCGCAACCCAAGAATGTGAAGAAATAGTCGCTTTCACTTGGCACTATGGAAAATGTCTCAAAGAAACTTTCCTCAAGAGATTATTGGACGCTAAAGGCGGCTTCCTTCCATGTGAACTTGTGAATAACGGGTTCACCACGCAGCTTCAGTTGGCAATGTGGTCACCGACCTTGACTTTCAGACTCCTAAAGCGAGAAAAAGACTTTCTCAACCATGATGTTAATCGAAGTTGGCCTATTTTCAGGTGTGGTTCAAAAATCGCCGAGCAAAAGCTCGCCAGCAGAAGAAAGTCTCAACAGAACAGTTCTGGTGGCAGCAGCGGTTCCTCGTCGACCGAGGGCACAAACTCAACCACTGATGCCGATGTAAATGTAAGAATACATTCGAAACTTCTCTAAATATGTCCTGGTAACCATGAGACTTTTCCCCTCAGCTTTGTTTGTTTCAGATCAAGTCTGAAGAGCCAGGTGAGTCGACACTGACCGACCAGTCGCAGAGCCCATGTCCGGACGAGAAGGCAACTCCGGCCAGCTATCTGAGCAGCAGTGCTTCACCAAACAACTACGCGGCCGCATCGTTCCGACCACAAGCGCAGTACACATATGGTGAGTATCGATCGAGATTCCTTTGGATTATCAGATATCAGTGTGCTTGAGGAGCTACTGCTGTATCGACTTGTAGAAACTGCACTGTTAAGATAGACCTCGATATATCCCAAGAGAATGCGCTGCTAAGCCAATCGATAGAACCTGTGTATCTAAGAGAGGATTCATGATGTTGTCAATAAGCTGAGAGTGTTTTTTAAGAAGGTTGTCTCGATGAAAAACCTCTGATCCTCGAAGTAATGCGCTTGGCGAGCAGCTCCCGTTTGGGACCATCCACGGCATCGACTCACCAATGAGGGTCTCAGGGGTGTTTTCATGATGTGGGAACATTACATATAAGATCCATGTTTTTTTTAGACCTGCTTCTGAACCAGGGTGAAAATGCTCAATAGCATACTTTTGACGTCCATGTTTGCAAATATGTTAGGGTGGTATTATATGCGCCAATCTACCGCAATTATCATTTGGACATAACGCAAGCTTCGTAAAATCAAAACTGCCACAATTTGAACATGGACCATTCTTCCGGTCCCTTAGTCTGTCAAACGACTGGCAAAAAATTAAGCATCCGTTCATGGTGGGTCCTTATTGTGAAGAAGCCTTGAAAAGGGTACTCCGGAAAACTTCTTGTCGGATCGTGGGACATTTGGAGGTACAGAATTTTCGACGAGTGTATATAGTGGCCATTTCACACATACACGATCATTGGCTATCAATGAAGAGTGGAGGATGCCTAATTGCTGATGTCGACTGTTACGAAACGGATTGCACTAGCGATCCGCCGATTCGCTAGCTCACGTCGCTTGCGGTTTTCAGCCATTGAGTGATCAGGCGCGCCAACGCAACGCTAGCGAATCGCGCGATTCGCAAATGACATCGCGCCCTAAAATGAATAAGTATGGAAGGGAGAGGAGTAGGGAAGGATCTGCACTCAGAAAAAGCATCAACCAAGCCATCGCTAGCGCGTTTTCCACACTCACCCACTGTCCTGTAAACTTCTTCAGCGAAGAAGGTCAAGTTTGTGCCAGTTACAATGGTTGCGGGCTTGTTGCATTTCAAGGATGTCTTTGTAGGGACGAACAATGATAATATCCACATTGTGTCTCAGAAGTAGTTAATTGAGCAACCTGCGTACTGCTATATCCGGCTCTATAAAAAACATGATTGCTTCCGGAGAAATCAATAAATCGATTTTTCAGCAAACTACCAAAGTCCGATGGACTACTTTCAATACACTCAACCGTCAGCTGGAACCACCACAAATCCATATGGAATGGAAACATGGAAATTTCAACCAATGGGTTAAATAACTCAACACGGAACTTATTGATTTATTGATCGATGACAGACACACGCGTCACATGAACGCGTGCGGCTGTTATTGTTCGTTGCAATCGGTTTCGCCGGCGTCTCCTCGTCGCCGCGTTATCTCTTTCATCGCTTCGTCGTCGCAATGTTAGACGCAATTATCATATTATCACATTCTATCAGTGACATGATAATCAGTCGAAAGCGGTTATCGATTGATTACTCATCTATCTCAGTCTATCCTTAGGCTACATACCGAACATCAACCAGTGACCCCCGTTTACGCAAAATGTGATTCCTATTTTAACTCGTTGTCGATTATTGATTTATTGAACTTCTTCAAGACAGTGAACATACATTCATCTGTAAATGCATATAAAGCAGAGTTGAACCTTATTGCTACGTTGGTATCATTTCACGCTTCTATCAGATGTAGTAGGGTCGAAAATCAATACCCATTTTTTCTATACGTCGACAAATATCAACGTGTGCTGTAAGTTCAGCTGCTTTTTTTCCACATTTCCTTCTGAGAAATCCAGCGGGCTATTGGCTGAAATCTAATCTATCTTGAGATTTTCAACAGTCAAAGAATTATTGTAGTAGTTAAATTGTAATATTATGATTATTCTGGCTAAAAAATTGTGAAATTATACTTAAGATTTTTTCTAAACTAGTTATAATTAGAGTTCTTGTCAGGTTAGACTTTTATCTATATATAATTTGTGATTAACACATTGGTGTACATTGTACGTTACTATGAGAAATTCAAATTCGTACAGCTTTATTCATTTGAATTTTTTCTTTAAATTGAATTGAATGTGTTTTTTTCTTGTTGATTTCTTGATTGTAGCTGTGCTCATGTTAACGTAGAATAAACGTGATTGTGCACTAATCATTCTCCGGATGTTACAATAAAACATATCGATTACTTGCCGTTGTAGGAAATCTTTCAAGGAAAACTAAAATGGTCCCGTAAGCAGGATGAGCCAACGTCGGAGCCGGAGGATGGTATTTATAGTAAGTTTTCTCTCTTTTTATTTCCTTTTCGTTTTAAAGTGCCGCTAGCTGGCCAAGGCAAACTCGGGGAGGGATTTCTCAACTTTGAGATTGCATTTCACTATGGGAAAGGAGATCCGCATTGGATGAAGTCAACGTGGGATCAGGGTCAACCGTTACGTTGGACCGATTTCGAAAATTTTATGACCCCCCTTCCTCCCTTCCTTCTAGAGGGCCTCGATAGCCTCCCCTCTATTAGTCAACTCCTCTCACTAACCATTCCTCCACCACCAAGTCCGCTCGCACTGCTCTTGCCATCCCATGGGGCTCCAACGCTATATCATCGATCCTGAGACCAATCCGACACAGCCCAAACCCGCCCACTCCTCCTCCCAATTGCACCATACACAACGTGAAACGCGAATTTGGGCGCGCCAACACAAACTGGCATCATCACATTCCTTCTGTAGCGCCCACCTCGCCGAAATACGACCCCCCTTTCCACACCAAAAATGGCCCCACCGCGGTTACCCCACCCCTCGCTTGTAATTTGTGCAACGTATGTGACCCTGCGGGGATTTCCTGGAAGTCTTCGGGTCAGGGAACCGTCACATGGCGGTCTTCTCTCGCTAAAGGTTCTATAGGCCCAGTTGGTGGATTGGCTTAATCGCTGCCCCTTAGATGGTAAAATCGCGGACCAGAAGGTCCCTATGTAACTTCTCCTTAAACCCCACACGCTCGACCTACACTCAGAGGGAGTGAATCCTGCTTTTCTAGCCGTGCTACCCTACGCCCAACCGTCTCCACTTGCGCGTATCCCTTACGTCGTTAAACTACTCTCTGTCCTCCGCTCTCACCGGTACGCGTGGCATCATTGGTCCGACACGGTCGAAAGCTTGCGTTTAAAGTACATCTCATTTAGGGTTAAGGCAGCAGGCGTTCGGCGCGTTCCCCAAAACCAAACCGTCCCATAGTCCACCACCCGGGACACAACAAAACGTTTGTCTCACCTGAGCTTACGCATCAGCCCCCTAACCCCAGAACCTGGCAAGCATTGTGACCATACTCTTGCGCGGAAAACCCCTGATACAAATCGTCCACATTGCTGTAACTAAGGTAGCATAAAATACGGTAGCGTTGTTCAAGTACCGCTTAGGATAGAGTCTGAAATTCCAGGACTCAAACAGGCTGCCAAAACAGAGAAGGGTTACAACAGCGAACAGTACCTTCAACGCGCTTTATCTATGCACTTCGTATATCTCTGAAACCGAGTTTTAAAGGAATCTTGCGCGGAAAAATCATGATTCTATTTCAGCCATAAATCACTGGCTTGAGACTCATTATCCACGATAATAGTGAAAAGAACTGAAGTATTGCTTTCGTTTTGATTAGAAATTCGAAAACTCGAAAAGGCTGCTACGCGTTCGAATTGCCCACGGACGTCTTTCACGAATGCTGGCGACGGGGATGCTCAAACTTGGTTCTTGGAGTGCATTCACTAGAAGCTCTTTCTGGCCTTCTGCTTCGTTGCATTCACATCTTACACTTCTACTCCATCCTATTCCATCGATCGATTTGTCTCCACTCTCCGAAATCGCGCGCTTTAACCCGATTCTCTCATTGCGTCGCCTGGTACGTAGCCGGCCAAACGCCGTCTTCTTTCCATGCCTCGCCTGGCTCTGCCTCCTGGTCCCCTTCGATGGTCCATAACGTGTAAGTTTTTGTACGTTTGTTTCTCTTCAGAAACCGAATCTTCATGCGTGAAACTTTGTGTGCTATTTCCAGTGATCACAACTGACATATTCATGTTAGGAAAGAGTGCAAGAATTTTCCGCGCAAGATTCCTTTAAGTCCTGACGGAAAAGTTG